TCCCTTCCAACCTAAATGATTCTATTTTTCTATGAACCGCCAAGCATTACCTGGGCGCTGGCATTTAGGACCCCCTAGACTGGCCAGCCAATACTTGACAGAGGAAGCTGTATCTATTTTACACACTCTCAGCTGAGGCCAAGAGCATGAAGGAAGAGCAAGCAGTGTTCCCAAAATCTCCACACTAGCTTTTGCCATCAGCCATGCAAGAGCTGCACTAGCAAAGAGCCACAAGAGAACAAGCTGGATTATGCCAGCAGAGGTCAGTGGGTGACTCTCTTGCCAAATGTTTCAGATGCACATGGTGTATAACAGATAAGGTTTCAAAGTCAGCTGAGTTACCTCACCCTGGAACACTGCAAACCATTCTTTGACTAGCTGCTATCATTTTGCCCTTTTTGATCACTTTAGCCTACCCAAGCAAATTATGATGATGCTTTGTTATGTTACTATCTCCTTGGTTTTCTCTTCAAAGTAGGTTTCTGGCAGACAAATTAAAGGTATATCATCATGAGGCTAGGAAGGGAGAGGGGATATCTTCCAAAGCTAATGCCTATTTTTAAAATTTCCATTGTGTCTCCCTACACCAATTTAGCTGTTTAAGCAGCTGAGTGTGTTGCTCTGACACGTACAGTGTATGGTACTTCATCAGCCTGTGAAGCAATACTTTAGTGCTATTTTCCTAACCTATATAATGAAAAAGCAGTTTCCTTCATAGGTAAGGAAGACAAAAATCCTCCTCAAGATTTGAAGAGCCCTCATGCTTCAACATTTGGCTTCATTCAAAAGCAAGTGAGACAGAGAAGCAAGTAACATATATAATAATACACTAGTCTAAGAAAATCTACTAATAGTAAGGAGGTCTTAGCCAATTCCATCAGTAAATACTCTATCACTGTAATGAAAAATTTACTCATAAAACCCAGCTTGCTTTACATATTTTAACTTTATAAAAAGTATCACTTACTCTTCCAGCATAGTTACTTCTCTCAGACTGTTACACAGCCACAGATGCCCTTCTCATCTACCTTCTCTCACAAAGAACAAAGGTCCAAGTAATTTGGGTGTAATCTGCCTATTAAGTCTTTTCAGTGTTCTGTTTCTAGCAGTTATAAGTTATTACACCAGACTAAAAGAAATTAGAACTTATATCATACCTAGACACAAGACCACCTGGCTCTAGGACTGAGTAGTGAGGGATTGTGAACTCATACAGCCTTTTTCAATAATTAAAGTTATTCTGCCTCACACATGAGCTTCGTGCTTCTGTTCTTCCTTTAACAGTGACACTCTTATTTCCATGCATCTGTTTTTAAAGTTGACAGTTAGTTAGGATCTTTTCCTCACGAAATTTCTTAAATTGCTGCACATTTGCTGCAGATATAACCCATGAGCTCTTTAAACTATTTGTCAAATTACTATCAACAGTACACTGTGGTCCTGGGGCTTGGGCTAAAAAAAAAAAACTGTAAACTAAAATACTATGCAGTTATGTACAAATTCTTTCTCACATCACCAGCAGTGTGATGAAAGTTAACACATCTAAACAAAGCTTTTAGATGAACGTATCAAAGCAAGGATTTTACCAGTAAAGACTGTCTGGGAACAGTTCAGTCACTGCTCACTTTTTTCCCCCGTTTCCTCTCACTACAGGTTGGCTTTGTGTAATCTTCTGCCAGTCTCATGTAACTCCTCTCTTTAGAGCCAGCAACACTGACACAAAATCAAGCAGAAAAAGTATCTAAAAGTGTCTTCAGCACTGTCAGC